GAATATTTTCTTTAAATGCTAAAGCTATGAATGTTTTTTTTTTGTGCTTTAGATAAAAATGAGTTTCAACTTATGACATTACACATGATATATGGCACACACTTGAAGTCATTCACGAAGGCACAAGCTAAGTAAAAGAATCTAAAATTAATCTTTTGTTCATAATTATGAATTATTTAAAATGATACTAAGAAAATCTATTAGTGATATGTATACTTATTTTATAGATGTTATCAATAGATTAAAAGACCTTGGTAAAAACTATACTAATTTTGAATTGATAAGTAAGATTTTATGGTCTCTTATGAAAAGTTGGGACTGAAAGATAACAACAATCTAAGAAGCTAAAGACTTAAACAATATTCCTCTTAAAGAAATCATAAGATCTTTAATGATTGATGAAATGATATACAAAGCACATGATAAAGAAAAATAAAACCTTCTAAAAAAAAGAAAGTATATTGCCCTTAAATCCAAAAATGATTACTTGAACAAAGGCTTATGACAATAAAGACATGACACTTCTTATAAAAATATTTAAAAAGTTAATATGAAGATTTAGAATCATCTAATCTTAAACTTAAAAATGAGTTATTTAAAAAATCATTAGAATTATATGCTTTGAAAAATACAAAGAATGACTTGCCATGAATGAAAAACTAGAATTTTGCTTAAAAGAGTCTATTAATAGTAATGATGTAATAGAATCTCTTAAAAAGGAAAACATATTACTACAATAAACATTAGAAAAAATGAAAATTAAAGCAATCCACTTGATATGATTCTTGCTAAACAAGATTATATATCAAGTAAAGAAGGCATTGGCTTCACGAGTAGTAACACTCATCAAAAGCCAATCATGTTTGTAAAATGACCAATATTGTATACTCATACACATTAGAAAGTTCAATGCAACTTCTCTAAAAAGTTTGATCACTATGCTTACACATGGTTTTTTAAAAAATATAATCATCTTTAATTAATTTGGGTTTCTAAAGGAACTATAAGTAATTTAGAGCCAAAAGATAAGAAAGATAAACCTAACTATGAAAAACTAAAAATTAAATGGGTACCTAAAGCAAATCTCTTTTTCTTGTGGGTATGTCTCCAAATAAGAGTTAGGAATAAAAAATAATATCTTGATAGTGAATGCTCAATACACATGACCAAAGATTCAATAAATTTCTTAAAACTCACTAGTCGAGATAGATGATATGTTACCTTCGAAGACAACAACAAAGAAAAAAATTGTTAATATTGGAAATATTTATAATATTTTAGAGATTGATACTTCTTTATTATTGAAAACTTCTCAAATCTCAAAATTTAATCATGATATTAAGAAAATACAAGTTAAAACTCTTTTATTAATTTAGATATTGTTGTTCCCAAATCATTAAAAGAATTTATAAGGATGAATAATAAAATAATATTGATGAACTCTCACATAATATTGATATCATTACTAATAATCTTGTAGAAGAATCACAATCGATAGTTTTGATAAGATCTCAAAAGGATAATAGACCTATCATTTTTTATTATATATGGTATATATACAATAATCAAATTATGACATAGGAATCAAAAGTACCCCTCATTGTTATCACAAGTTATAAAAAATAATAATTTTAAAAAATATTATGATGTAATAAAAGAAGAGTTGAAGTCAATGGACCATAAGGATGTTTGAGAACTCATCGAATTACCAAATAATTATAGAAGAGTTTGTTATATAGTTATGACTCAAATGATCATATCAAACAATATAAAATTAGACTTATAGCTAAAGATTTTACTTATAAAGCAAGCAGTAACCTAATAGACTCATTAAAAATCACGCATTAATAGCTCATTATGATTTTAAGTTATATTAATGTAATTTTTTAATGAAGATCTAGATGTAAAATTTGGTATATAAATTTAGAAAATTCATTTATGATCTTAAATATGCCTTAGATAATGAAATATAAAGTTTCATAATACTATTATTTCTATCATATTTAAGAAAAATACTATTAATACTTATATCTAAAGGTTAATTAGAGCAAGTTTATATATTGGTTTTATATGTGAATAAAATTTTACTTGTTAGTAGTGATCTTGATCTATTATACAAAACTAAAATATTTCTCACTAAAAATTTTAAGATGGTTGATATGAATGAGGCATATTATGTTATTGGTATTAAGATATTTATGGATAGATTTCAAAGATTATTAGGACTATCTCAAAAAGGATATATTAAATATGTCTTCAAGAGATTTAATATACATCTTTGTTCAATAAATGACAAAAATAATAAATTTCAATCAAAGCAATTATTTTTAAAATGGCTTGGAAAAATATCAAATGAAAGAAAATTATTTCTCATATATGTGTAATTAAATGTTTATTAGATTCTTAAACCTATATCAGACCATATATCAATTTTATAGTTAAAATACTAGGTAGATATTAGAGTTATCTAAAGATAAAATACTAATAGGTTGTAAAGAAAATAATAAGATATCTAGAAGCGATGAAAAAAATCATATGCTTACATATATGAAATTAGATTAGCTTGAAATTATTATATTTTCATATGTTGATTTTGTAAGTTGACTCGATAGTAAGAAGTCCAATTTACATTTTTATATTTATTAGTGAGAGATATATTTTATAAGAAAAAAATATAAAATAATATATTTTTATATTATCAAGAATAAAAGTTAATTTAGTGGTATGCTTTGAGGCCATTGATCAAGCTTTATAATTGTGAAATTTTGTCTTATGACTCGGTGTGATTAGACTCAATTATCAAGTACATACTTTATAATATATTATAATAGTTTTCTTCTCTAAGAATGATAAGTATTATAATAGTTCTATGCATTATGATATAAAGTATTTGAAAAAAAATCTAAAAATAATTAATTTCAATTAATAATATGAGTTTCACTATATCAATTGCAAATCGATTCATTAGGATTTATAGTCTAAAATATTTAAAAGAACAAATTCTTCAAATTAGGTTTGTAAACAATTCATAAAAAATATGATGATGTATGTTTTGAGTGGATATTATAATTGATATTTTTGTTTACACAATTAAGGTTATTTGTTTCTGCTATCATATTCATATTTATATAGTTATATTATGGTTGA